GCTGTAAAAACAAGTCTCTTGTTCACTGGTTATCTTGATTGTTCGATTCTGATTATTCTATTAAGCCTGCTAATTTCACCGTCATGATGAAGAAGAAGAGGTGAATAATGAAACCAATCGAGGATCCAACACTAATGGATATGGGTTCATTAACACAACCAGTAATCGTACCTGAAACGAGCACTTTCCATTAATTGCGTGGTGTGTTCTACTCCTAACCATTACCAGATACTATTATGGCAAACCAGCAATTCTCAATTACTCTCAGTAAAAGTATGGTCCCCTGTTTTCCAGTCACCCATCTTAAGGAGACCAAGAACTTCGGGCATCTTGTGGTATGAAGTAGAGAAAGAAACACCAACTAGGGCAATATCCTATATTATGTCGAAGTGAATCATAGGATCCTGATACCAAGAAAAGAAAAGACGTAATTTTCCTAGCAGAATTTTAGAAAGTGTATAATCAACCTGCGCTATTTAAATGTTCCCATCACAACAATGTGGTTTCAACCCAAACACAGTCACTTTGTAATCAAAGATGTTCCTGCTCACATGTGTCTACCAGACATCATGTGGTGTCAGCAAGACAGTCAGCTTCAGGCAGCTTAATGGACTATGGCCAGTTCCGTTCTGTAATATATGGCTGAAGATCAGAGAAAAGGATGAGACTGGGGAGATAAATTCATAGCGACCCAAATATCTGGCTCACTTAGGGGCAGCCTATCAAACTCCGAAAAAAAAGACCTAAATAGAGTCAGAAAAAGATAATCGCGAGAATTATCCTAAAATCAAAGATAAAATGTCTCTATGGATAGTACTTATTCATCCATTTAAGTAAATGAATCATTTAGGTTTTCCTTTTTCTGTAGTAATTAAATTGATAAAATTTATGTCCAACTTGTTTCTTTATATCTGACCTATGAAAAGTCAAAAGTGACTTTACTAACCTTTCATGATGAACTTGGTGAAGGTCAAAGTAACCTGTCTAATCATTTTATGTGTATTTTTAAAAGTTACTTCAATTCGTACATCAATACGACACTCTAATTACTAACAGAATATAATTATTATTATTAAAATGCAAAGATTGAGCCATTAATCCTTGAAAGAGCAAAGTTTCGTTACAGAAAAGAAATAAAATAAACGTTTTATTATTTCAGCAGAAAAGTGTAGTTATTGTTATCAAAATGTAAAAATGTGAAAATTTCTTATGTGTAAAAGGTGTCAGTGTAATAGTTTTCGTTATAAATATCTAATTATAACGCTCTCTTGTGATTGCGTTAAAAAAGTCTACCTTTGCAATACAGATGTGAATAAGTGTAAAATATATGAAAATTATATGTTTTAAATTTCCTGTATTTAGAAAAAAAGATGTACGAACCATTCAGTGGTACATACATTTTTAAGCTATAAACGTTCGTGCTCTTATTAAGATGTTAGGTGTATGAAACAGCACAGGCAGTTACAGCACTAATGTGTTGGAGCTCCACTGAAGAGAACTGCTGTTGATGTGCTTGATCCTCTTCAACAGATTAAGAGTGAGAATTGATACATGATGATTGACTATTTTACCAGATGGCCAGAAATATATGCTGTCTCTAACCGGGAAACAGAAACTTTTCCGAAGAAACGTGTCAAATGGTAACACACTATCATCACTGATGTTTTGGGAAAGAACTGAAAATGTCATTGTACATTCTGTACTCTCATCTAGAGAATAGTCACTTAGAAGAGTATTACACAGAATATGTAGAGATTAAGGAACATCATCAATGACATACATGACTTTACCCGAGAAAGACTTAAATCAGATAGTGCTAAAATGAAAATTTGGTATGATATTAATGCTGAAAAGATTGTATTCCATCATGATGACATGGTATGGCTGAAAATTCCCGCCACTCAGAAGTTCATAGAATTTGCTTAATTCCTCTTCATATTTTTTATTTCTTCCTATTGTGTTTTATACAACTCAACTGATTACCGAACTTACTTCACCAAGGTTTAATGATATGAAATATGATGTTACACACGTAGTCATTCCAGAAATGTTTTAATAATTCCACAAAATTTTTAATATTAATTCAAATATTTTAACTTGATTTCGTAGCGCCATCTGTGGAGAAAATAAGTACACTCTGTCGTTTGATTTTTCTTTAATATCACTGATAACTACATGAAATCTTTATGAAACATGGTCCTATCTTTCTGTCTAGTAATAGCCACGTTCTGTTAGAGACCACACACTTTTAGACAGCTAAACTGCTGAGTGATCTAATATTTACCGTAATAAACTTTTCATAATATTTCGTATATTTCAAATAGAGATTTACAGATTGTCAGGGTAACTTTCAGTAAAAAATTATTTTACTAATATAATGCTCTCTGATATCCGAAAACAATTAGATTGAAATGCTATAATAAATTGTGTTATTTAATATTTAATCACGTAGCTTTAACTGTAACTATTGTAAAGTCAGAATTTATTGCTTATACTTTTGAAGAAATAATTATCTTATTGTGGATATAATTAAATCTAAAAAGCTCTTTGTACTGTTTTCATCACTGCCAACGAGGTCCTTGTTTTCTGATTCATTTACTTTTTAGCATTGTCAAAAAAACTTGTTTTTTTTGCGTTCATACTAAACTGTATTTGTTTATATTGCAAGCGAATATGCTTCAGGAACATAAATATAAGCTCAGTAGTTTTCTAATTAAAAAACAACATCACAGCATTTAGATTAGTAATGAAACAGTTATTCAAGTAATAATGAATATAGGCGACCTCAGCTACGAAGTTTATCCTTTTATTAAGCTGAATTAAAAGAAACCCTTAAGACTAACGAAATTGAAAGTTTACTCTCAAGAAACGCGTATCTCAAATAACACATAACAATATAAGAACACCTAAATGGACTGCCCGAAGAGCACACACGAAATATGTCTTCAAGATCTTGAATTTCAATATGTATATCAGCTACATAAATCATTTCATGGTTAATTCAACAAGTTGTTACAGCCATTAGTAAATTCATTTCTTCACATCGAGCACTTATGATTTGTGCCCCGGTGTAACAGCGGTAATTTTACGGATTTACAAAACTAACATCCGGAGTTCAATTGCCCGCCATGCACAAAGCAGATAGCCCAATGTGGCTTTGTTTAAAACAAATGAATAACCTCTTGTGATTTTATAAGACGCTTCAACATAGTAGCCCCCTTCTGTTAATGACAAAAGGATCCTCTATAACTTTGATGTCGTATCTTTATACCCATTCATTCCCTTAACGGAAGGAATAAAAGTAATTCCTGACTTTATTAAAGAATACTCTAAACTAGACCTTCCCTGTTTATACTTAATTAACATAGAAGCAATGTTAAGTTTTATGTTGTCAGCTGAAACTGGGGAGAGAAATAGTTATGGAGAATATAATTCTTGTAGAATAATTTGTTGTTTTCTTTATGCACTGTTTTGAAGAGAAAGCCTTTTTACCGTGGCGTGAAGAAACTTTGATGTCCCCTGAAATCTTGGCCCCCCAGTGGCACAGCGGTATGTCTGCGGACTTACAACGCTAGAAACCGGGTTTCGATACCCGTGGTGGGCAGAGCACAGATAGCCCTTGTGTAGCTTTGTGCATAATCAAAAACAAAAACAAACATAAAACAAACTGAAATTTTGTGTTGTACTGAACTAATGACATTCCGCTTTCATATTTTCATCAACAAACAACATCCCAATATCACACTCACATTAGAGTACTCACAAAAATTCAAAAAGTACCTTTCTTGGTGACATTAGTTATTTTTGAAATAAAACATTATCAGACTTGTGTCATCTCAAGACTTGTAAAAGTCCAATGAATTTGGGATTCTAAATTACATAATACTGAAAATATAAAAAATGAGCCAATTTTGGGGTGAGTTACATCGTATCGATTCTGTAAGCAACAAAGAAAGGCTAGAAATCATGTTAGAGAATATTATTTTCTCCGACATATCAACAGTATTTTCAACGTTCAAGGAAATATAATAATAAAAAGAATGAACCGAAAATTGAAACATTGCACACACACACGGACAGTAGACAAGTTTGTTTTTCAGTACAAACTTAATAAATTGACTCCACAAAATTGATAAGATATTATAATGTCACCACGTATCACGTGAATAATACAGCGAATTCTGCGTAAGAGAAACTGAACGAGAACTGTGCAAGAGGATATCACAACATGTGAAACCTGTCTACCAGTGTGATACTGCTTCAAACGTTGTAACAGAATATTACGTAAAAACCTATGAAACACCAACTGAAAAAAATATTATTTCCTTAGAAATTTTCAAACGCACTACAACTTACAACGGAAATACGAAGAGTTATTTATGATATAAAAACTACACCAAAAAATAAACTGGAACGTGAATTGGTTTTGTAATTTAAAGATAAGTTACGGCTAATTTCCGATGAAAATTTTATAAATAAAAATACGTAAGTAGTCTTTAAAGAAAAAAATCATCTCTATTTTGCATATACTAATTTCCAACCGATATCTTTTAGAATTGTCAATGAACTATGTTAAACCATGCTACAGTGACCAGCACAGCAGGGTAGCTGGGTAGGCTTATGCCTCAGCCTTCTTACACTTATGCCCCAGAAGTGTCCTTTTTTTTCACTATCATAACATTGTCAACAACCACGAAAAGATATAGCTTATTCCACACTGTGTTTGCTGTGAGTAACTAAGAAAAATGAATAAAGATTTCAGCTTAAAATGAATGGAATACAGGGTTTTACAGTAAAAATAATAATTGTGATATACTATTAGGTGTTGATACACAAAAATTCACTGTTCAGGTTTAGATCATAAAAATGGCTTTAAGACAAACTGAATAGGAATAAAAAAAGATATGTTTGGTTCTTATGGACGTTTACCCTAAGTGTACCACAGGCAACTCACAGTCCCTATAGTCTCCAGTAACCCCACCCCCGAAAAAAAGACTTACCTTACAATACTTCAGTAGTACCCTTTTTTGTTGTTATTGGCCATTTTTAATCTTCTCTGCACATTACTGCTGCGCCTTATCTCTGAAACCCAAATACGTTTACTCTATTATTTATTTCCAATAATGTTAAATTCAACAATACTATTTTAATATATCATTTATCACTATTTAATGTACACCTGTACATGTGTTTTCAAGTAACATTGATATTATGGGAGTTTAAAGTACGTTGTACAAACTCAAGGTTTGTACTCATTGTTTAAAAGATAAATAAAACTCGAACTATTACTCCAGAAAACATAACTGGTTTTATTTAAGCTAACGTTTCGCCATGGCGGCTTCATTGGAGCAAACAAGCGGTAATGACGAAACGTTGGCTTAAATAAAACCAATTATGTTTTCTGAACTAATACATCGTGTTTTATTTATATTTTTAACATTGATATTCATATATGGTTACTGTTTAAACATCGAAGACTGGTGAAGCATCAGAAGCCAATAAACCTAAAATTTATGATAAAATTTACGTTACTTGCAGATGTTTCCCCCACTCCCAACAAACAAACATTCCTCTTCACATATCCATTAAAAATATAAATTCAGAGGTGTGTATAAAAGGGATTTCAGATATACCGTTTGTCTCCCACAAATCACTTATTATGTATGCTTAAGTTAACTAAGAAACCAGTTGAAGTTCAGTTTTGCTGAAATACAGTTATCGTGTTCTTGTGATGAACCAGTAGTAGTTGAAACGTTGAGAAAATTAAAATAAAATAACATTAACTGTTGTTTTTTTATTGTTGCTTTTTAGATTCTTCTTGATTTGTCCATTGCAGCTCGAAATCATAGGTGTGTAACAATTTTTAGACCTATAGGACTTCCAATATTTTGCCTGCTTTCAGTACTTAAACCGTAAATTTTAAAGTAGTACAAGTTTTATTTTCTGAAATATAACCGAGTATAATTATTTAAATATGTTGAAACTTTTCATTATGCGTTACGAATACTTAAATAACAGAGATATTATGTCAAGAAAAATTTACTGAACTGATAACAGGTAGGAATTAAATATTTCGCGACTAAAACGACTTTGAAAGCTTTATGTACATTTTCCCTGAGCCTTGGAGTATTTCAGATACAACAGATGGCGCGGTTGTAGTTATACAAAGATTGTTCTAGTTTTTATATCTTCCAATGTTACATCGATGAAAAACTCTTGAAGTGCAAAGCTGTAAAAATTATTTCTTTTAGTGCTCTTAAGAAAATTAAATAATAACGCGGAATTATATACTTTGAATAAATCAGTAAAATTATGTTTAAAAACGAAAATTTAGTAAGATATTTCACAATGTTTTTGTTGTTGTTTTCGTATTTAAAAAACAATGTGATTCACACCTCAAATAGCCCTTGAATAACTTTATGAGATATTTAGGTTGGAGTCGAAAACAATATATCTCTTTATAATCAACTATATAACTGTCATAAGATAATGGTATTATATTTAAACCCTACATTCTTTATCTAGCCCCTTATGGATTCTCAAGAATTAGAAGATGGCATAGTAATATTATCCAACCACACTGATGAGACCTGGATTGAGGGAAACGCGTTATCAACAATGGATATGAGCTATAACTGCACTGGAGCCTTTCGATTTGGAGCAGTATATGCTAAACACTAAGTTAAAATCGGCTCATTAACTAGGACTTAAGTCTATAGATATGGTTAAAACCGTAGTTTACAGCAATATATATAACTTCCTTGCGTTGAACCAATGTGCTGTTCAGTGTTTTATTTTCTTTCTTTTGCAATATTTCAAACGAATGGCAGATAATGATGAGAATAAATAACTAAATGATTCTTTTATTCTTTAATTTTACTGTTGAAGTTTTGTTTCAAAGTTTCACGCTAAGCTAGCTACATAATCTCTGCAAGCCGTCCCTAATTTTGAACTAATAGACTGGAGGGAGGTCAGCAGACCCCACCGAACTCTTCGGCCACTCTTGCCTGATAGAATACTAGGATTTGATCGTCAGTCTTGTAACACAACCATGACAGCAAGATGAGTAGTCTTGTATTCACAGTCCGGCACTCTAACCAATATGTTACGTCTGTCCTACCTATTATTTAGTAATGAATTTGAGTAATCTAATTTTTGCTTTTTGTTGTTTCAAAGTTCTCAGTATTGAATACAGATAGTATTCACTATCTTATGAGTAAAATGACCAGGAATTCAAGACCTCGAAACTGAGACATCAAGTAAACATTATTCGTAATTATTGTACTGGTTTACTCAGCTTTTGAGTAAAGAGCTTTGGTCGATATACCTCCTAATACAAATCATTCTTCATGTATGTCATCAGAGGCCTGACAAGGCCTAGTAGTTAGGGTGTTTGACTTGTATTCTGCAGATTGAAGGTTCAAAACTCCATCACTGAACATGTTCGCCCTTTTAGATAGGGGTGTTATAATGTGACGGTCAATCCCACTATTCGTTGATAAAATAGTAACCCAAGAGTTAGCGATGGATAGTGTTGATTAACTGTCTAGTGCTTGTAAACCTTTTCCAATATCATTCACCCCCATAAGTTTTTCACAAGAGCTCACTCCCCCAGTTCGAAAAAAAAAGACAAAAAAAGAACTAAATTAAAATACAAAATTCTTTATTATGACTTAAATATACATCAAACTACAACTAGAATAAATAATAATAAGTAATGACTTTTTTGCTCTTGAGTTTGTTGTATAATTGATAATACTCATTCACCCTGCCATTCATCCCATCATTCTCATTCAACCTGATTCTGATTCCTGCTAAATTAGGGACGAGTGGCGCAAATAGCCATCAAGTAGAGTTTCGCGAAATTCAAACCAAACAATCTGATATATGAATATTGCTATTTTTTATTATTACTCATGATATTAGGAAAACATCTAACTTCAAAAAAATCAATTAAAGACAAAAATACGAAACCATATAACCTGATCGTTTTTGAAGGGTGAACCTTTCTTCACCATGGACAAATTTTTTGGATCTTTAGATATGATCAAATAAAATAAATATTTTTCTTAGTGTCGACAATTCTAAACCTTCGCATTCTCGAGGGTATTTTAAATCTATTTTTAGGGGTTGGAACAACATAGTTTTATGACTTAAGTTCTCTGGGAAAATGTTGTTAAGTCTACTTCACTTCACCATAGATATTAAGAAAGTTAAGCGATCAAACTGAGCAACACTGTGTAAATATTTTCAGCTTCACTCGGTTTGGTTATAAAATATTTTTCAGGACAGAATTATGCTCCTTTAGGTTTTTCAACATTAATATAATTATTTTCATTTGGGGCGAGATTTCGAAGAAACCTAAAGCAACAGAGTCAAAAACGCGCCACAAAAAAAAAAAAAAACGTGAGAAAAGTCTAAAAGTCTCTTTAATTTATAAAATCCTGCTCTGTTGTGTGAAAATAAGCGTAGCATTTAGGAAAACGTTAGAGAGAAAATAATTTGCCACATCTCATGAAATATCCGGTTAACACCAGGTGACGCCTATGCTGCTGTCAAGCTCACCTGCGCAGGTGAACGCTAAGTGAATGACCAAGCAACCAACCTACAAAACAAGTGTATTTGTTACGTTTCCCGTATCATAGTAGTGTAAGTTAACTCATACTACAACTTTGTTTCATCATACATTTAAAGCAAGGTCTCTTTGTTGCTAATGTATATTTTCTGTTTGATAACATTGATGTTTGATCCTTTGCTCTAAACTCAGTCATGTTACAGTCATTAACATCACGTAGATTTGAAATATCTTAGATTGAGAAAAGTTGGTACTTTTGTGTTAGAATGACAATTTAGTTTATAGAAAATATCAAGGATTTTTCATTTTCGAAATAAACCAAGAGAATGAGAAATTATTCTATGTCACAGAAATAATACTTGTTGTTTTTTAGGCACACTCTTACACAATTGTGTTCATCGCCGGAAATCGAGTCAAAATTTTAGAATTATGAACCGTCAAGCCACCAGAGACAGAAATTGTTGTTGTTTCTTATTAAACACAAATCTACACAAAGGGCTATCTCTGCTCTGCCCACCACAGGTATCGAAACCCAGTTTCTAGTAGTACAAATCCGCAAACATGCCTCTGTGCCACTGAGGAGCGAGACAGAAATAATAACTGGATAGTCAAAACGTTTTCACACATCTGTTTCTGAAATAGTACGTAAACATAATTATGAACACTTGTCACTCAACTTTTCAGGTGAAGGTAAACAAGGTTCGATATTCAGAAGAAAAAATTAAGAGGTAGCGGGAAAAAAATGTTTCTTTAATAATTTTTTTATAGTCAGAATTGATATCGATAAAAAAGCACTTGGCTGAAACGTATATTGCATTTTCCTTGCTTTTTTTAACTATAATATATCTCCATTGTTTCTTAGGTACAAAGACAAATCTTATACTTATTTATCATTCTTCTCAATCAGTACAGTTGGATGCTTCACACATTACATATTAGTGAGTGAACATGGTGTAAGTTGAATGGCTACATATACTACTTATTAGAGGATTAAGCCACCTATACTTTTATAAGTGCATTATAAATTAAAACTTAACTTAAGCTAAATTCATGTTTCTGGAACAATTCTCTCGGTAAATGATGTGGTTAAAACTTTCATAAGCAAATACTTTAAAAAATAAGTTAAACATAATTCATGCTTCTGGAATATTTCCTTCAAAAGATTTGTAATTAAACATGCTAATAACTAAATACTGAAAATATAATTTTATGCATAACTCACGTTTCTTGTACAGTTCCTTCAGCAAAAGTATTTTTTTATATTTTGAGAAATAAACACTTAAAATATAAGCATTATTCATATTTTATTTCTTTCGCAATCTTGGAAATTAAATTAATATTTTACGTCCTATCGTTTGTGAAGTGTATATCAAAATGAACTCAGGCATATCAATATTTATATTAATCAAACTGTACTTAGAAACTTTTTCAGATTATAAGAAAGAAGATTACAAAAACAATACATGTAAATGATAAGAAAAAACATTTTAGATATAATTGTGTCAAA